GCGCTGGGGGCGCCGGACCTGGGGCAGAGGCCGGGGAAGCAGTGGGTCCCTTCAGGGGCGCTGTTTGGGGGTGTCTTTGGGAAACGGGAAGGAGGAGGACTGTTGGTTGTAGAAATCCTTTCAGCCCCGCCGTGTGAAGGTGAGGAAATGGAGGCGGGCCGTGTGCTTGGAGCAGCGTTACCCCGAAAGCGGTGCTCGCACCGCCGCCCCGATAACACAGCATTCGCTCTTCTCGCAGGTAAGGAGGGCGAGTGCCTCATCTGCAAAGTGCCCTGCCGAACAGTCTTCCTCTCAAAACACGTAAGTGGAAACCCGTAGCCCGTGTCTGAATATTGATCGCCGCGTTCCCTTACAGGTGTTTGTGGTGTCTGAGCTCCCCGTGCATGTTGTCGGGTGACCGAGCGGGCTCCCGGAATCTCAAAGCGCAGCTAGGACCCGGCCGGGACCCTCCTGCAGCCTTCTGGGGTGCCGGGGGCTGCCTGCGGTTCCGTGCGATGCCCCTGGGAATGAAGATGTGCGGAACGGATTCCTTCAGTGCAATGCAAGCTGTGCTCCGTGCTGAGAGCAGGGGTTCTCAGCCTTGGCTGCACCTTAGAGTCACCTGGGAGTCTTTTTTAAATCCTGATTTCTGCGCCTCATCCTCCGGAAGTTCTGTTTCTTTGTTACTCATGTTGTGGCCTCTCCCCATCACAAAGAAAAAGAACTTCCGGAGGACGGGGCCCAGAAATCAGGATTTTAAAAAGATTCCCAGGTGACTCTAAGGTGCAGTCAAGGTTGAGAACCACTGGCTTAGAGTGTCAGCGCACACACCAGAGGGTTGTAGGTTCAAGTCCCAGTCAAGGGCACATGTCTGGGTTGCAGGTTCGATTCCCGGCCCTGGTCAGGACATGTGCCGGAGGCAACCACTCGATCTCTCCCACATCAAGGTGTCTCCCTCCCCCCCCTTCCGCTCTCTCTAAAAATCAATAGAAAAGGTACCTCGGGTGAGGAGTAACAACAACAAAAAGAAGGTGGTAGAGTTTGGTTTTTCACAGCTGTCATATCTACTTAAGAGGATTGGAGGAAAGTAGGTATTAAGTTGCTGTTGCAGTAGGCTTAAAATAATGCCTTTTGTTCTCTTTGTAAAATACATGAATTTAACTTGTTTGCTTTAAATTTAGTTACAAATAATTGTCCTCTTTACACCTAAGCTCCAAGATGTGTATTTGATCTGATGTTTTAATCTATAACAATTGCTTTTTTTCTGATTACAAATGTAAAACAAAGTTATATATTATGCAAATGATACAAAAGATCATAGTGGAGGAGGTGGAAGCCCTCAGATACTGTTGCCCAAAGAGAGCAACCAGGAGTGGAGCGCCCGGTCTGTGGGTGCTACTCGGATTTATTCTTACAGAAATGGTGTTTTCTCAAGTGACATATTTTGGGCACTCCCACACTCTTTAAAGGTGACCGTAGCCTTTTAAATGTTTTTATTGATTTTCTTTTTTTCTTTTTTTTGTAGAGAGAGAGAGAGAGGAAGGGAGAGAGAGAGAAACATAAATGGGAGAGAAACATTGATAGGCTGCCTCCTGCACGCCCCCTTCTGGGGACTGAGCCCGAAACCCAGGCATGTGCCCTGACGGGGAATCGGGGACTCGAACTAGTGACCTCCAGGTTCTTGTGTTAATGCTCAACCACTGAGCACACCAGTCAAGCATGATGGATTCTTGTCTATGAACTTACACCTCTGGCCTTGCTAAGTTCACCTGGTAACTGTGTTGGCGCAGCTGTAGGTTTTTCCAGGCTCCATAGTCGGGCCGTCTCTGTTTGTTTCGTGCCTTCTGTGTTTCTCTCCCCTTCCTCGGCCTGCACTCCGTACCGTGTGGAGTACGGACGGCAGGGGCCATCTCTCGTGGAGGGTTTGTCTCCCCTGATTTCAGGGTCGTGGCAGTGTTTCTGTGCAGTACTCTGTGCGGGGTGGGTTTTTTGCTATGGCTTTTTATCATGAAAGGTGTTGAACTTTACCCAATGGCTTTTCTGTCACTGTTAAGCTTATCATTGGTTTTTCTACTTTACTTTGTCAATGTGGTGAGTTGCATTTATTTTTAGAGCTTTAAACCCACACTAGCTCCCAGGAACAGATCCGACCTGGTGCGAGGCAGCCTAGTGCGTGTGTCTAGATGAGCTAGACGCCGTGCACCTGTGTCCACGTGGGAGCTGCGTGTGGTCCTCTCTCTCCCGGGCCCTTCTCAGGCCTCGGTGCATGGGGGCGGGGCGGGGGGGGGGCGTGAAAGCAGCTGGGGCCTTCCATCCTCTCCTCTCGTAAAATGTGGTGGGATTCACAGGTGAAGTTGTCTGAACCTGGAAGGGATTTGGTGAGGAGGTTTCAACCAGGGACTTAGTTTCTGTGTTAGACACTCAGTGCCTACCTCCGTCAGGTCAACCTAAGGGAGCTGTATTCACAGGAGGGGGTGCCCTTTCCTCGAGGTTGGGTGTCCTGTCACCAACACGTGTGCAGTCCTCGGTGCTCTCAGCGTCCGGAAGGCCTGTGGTGATGCACGTCTCTTCACTTTAATGGTGGTTATTGTGCCTTCTCTCCTTTTCTTGAACAGTCTTGTCAGTGTTTATTGACCTTTATTCGTATCTTCAAAGAACTAATTCTTGGTTGTGTTTCTTTATTGTACACCTGTTCTCTGGTGAGTTCTCCTTGCCATTTTGTCTCCTCTTTCCTCTTTGCTTTCATTTGCTCTTTAAGATGGAAGCTCACGTCAGCTCTCCACCTTGTCTTCCTCCTGTTTACATCCCAGGCCACACCCCACTCTGTGCTCATCCTTGCCTGAGCAGAACAATTCAAGTCTCTTCTCAATTATTCCTGCGACCCATGTGTATGTGGTTAATTTAGAAATATTTGGGGATTTTAGTTATCATTTCTACTAACTTTCATTGACGTATAATGCCGAAAGTGCACAAATTAAAAGTGCATAGCTCAGCGAATTCTGCTCGATCTGAGAGTGACTCGCACTGGTCCGGGACACCCTGTACGGTTGCCCTTAAAGTCGGACAAGCTCCCATCCTCCCTGGACGGGGCCTGGACGCTTAGACTCCGCTTCCTCCTTCCCTCCGATTCCTAGGGCTGCCGGAGGCGTGCACCTTATTCTCTCCCAGAGACGTAAGCCCACAGACATCGCTGCCCGGATCGCCACCGCCGCCCAGGTTCCCACAGTCCCACTTCCTCCCGCTCACCGTTCCCAGCCTCCCTGACGCCCCCGGGAATTCCTTTGTCAGGCCCTGCATTGAGGCCTGTGGTGACAGCTCTCCAGAGGGACTCAAGCTGCCTGCATTGTGATGCATATTGCGCTCGTTAGGCTGCTTTCCTGGACATGAATGCTTCCTGTGTCTTGGATCACATGGCTCCGTTCGCTGTGGCTTTTCACGGTCTGGCTGTCCTGTGGTATCCGGCTGAGCTTCAGGGAGACCCCAAAGCCTGTGCGGAGGCTGTTATCAGAGTGGAGGCCTCAGCCTCTGCTCCCTACACCCGGTCCCACTCAGGCTCCTGTCAACACAGGGAAGCCACACCTGCCTGTCCACGCGGGTCCCTGTCCACGTAGAGTGAAGCCACACCCGCCTGTCCACGTGGGTCCCTGTCCACGTAGAGTGAAGCCACACCTGTCTGTCCACAGGTGTCTTCCCTGTGTGATAACCTGTGTGTCACTTGCTTTCCACTCCGGAGCACAGGCCGCCACGCTCTGTTGGGCACTCCGTTTCCTGTGGCTGTGGGTGCCAGGCTGTGGGAAGGCATGCTTCTGCTTCTGCGGCCTGGGACCAGGCTCTGAGGTGTGGGGCGAGGTCAGGGTGGCAGGTTGAGTTGGTGCCGAGCAGGGCTTGTGGGCACCTGGAGGCCCTGCCCCGCCTGTGGCCCACCTGCCTGTGACTTGCAGGGGTCGAGTCCAGGAACCCAGCTGTCCAGACACCCTGTGTGGCCTCTTCCTCCAAGGTCTGGGGCGGCTCGGGCCAGGCACTGCCTTCCAAGGACATCTAGCTTCTGCCGCCCATCAGGTGTCCTCCCTGCACTTAGTTTTACCTCATTTCGGTGGGACCTGGGGAGCACAGGGAGCATCAGTGGAGGGACTCCGATTCCGTTCTGAGGCCCGTGCCTGCTGACGGTTCCGAAGCCAGGACCAGGCTGCCGAGGGACCAGCCTGTGTCTTCTGGGTCTGCTCTCCTTACCCGGTGGCTGTGTTTGTCCCCGTCTGTCCCTGCTCAGGGCGTCCTCCCACGCCTATGCCCTCGGATGGCTGTCACTGTCGGCCCACTGTGGGTGCCGGGACTATGGGTGCCAGGCTGTGGGTGCCAGGCTGTGGGTGCCGGGGAGGAGGGGGGAGGAGGAGGCAGGCATGACGCTGTGGAGTGGGCAGCATCACCCCTGAACCCACTTTTCCTTGAGTTCTTTATGTTTGCTTCTTTTTTTTTTTTAATATATTTTATTGATTTTTTACAGAAAGGAAGGGAGAGAGATAGAGAGTTAGAAACATCGATCAGCTGCCTCCTGCACATCTCCCACTGGGGATGTGCCCGCAACCCAAGTACATGCCCTTGACCGGAATCGAACCCGGGACCCCTCAGTCCGCAGGCCGACGCTCCATCCACTGAGCCAAACCGGTTTCGGCATGTTTGCTTCTTAAAGGACTGACTGATAGGAGGCTCACCAGCACTCCCTCCCTGACGTAGTGTTTCCTCTGAGCTCGGCTTCCCCTTTGGCCATTTACCCTTCGAGGCCTGGGTTCCTCCTGACAGAGAGGGGCCTGTGGCCCAGAGGGTGCCACCAGCTGCCAGGCACGCTGCCCTCACCCACAGCCCCGGGCAGCCAGGAGGCGGGTGCCCCGTGCCTGCTGGCGACAACGAGGGACACGCTGGTCCTGCGGGTCCCGGGGTTCATCTGGGTCTCCAGTTTGCCTCTGCATCTCGCCCTGAGCGTGTGCCAGGCAGCGAGCGGAGATGGTGTCTTTCTCTTCCAGACGGACCCAGGGGTCCAGGCGCTCTTCATGGGCATAGACGGCCTGTGCAGGAAGTACTCCAAGGAGACCTCCCAGGTGCGTGGGCCTTCTCCTGGGGCACGCTTCCTGACGACCCAGGGCCGATGATCTCACCCTGGAGAGCAGACCCCACAGGCTTGGGGGTGGGCAGGGGGTGCTCCCTGCCCCTGTGCCGTCTTCC